CCCCTGCTTGTGTTCCCTCTCTCGCTGTCTCTCTCTCTCTCTGTCAAATAAATAAATAAAATCTTTAAAAAATAAAAAACTCCTATTTTAGCACCATAGATAATTGTTAATAAACCCAAATGATAATCTTTATAATTAAACTTCCACTTCTTTTAAAGGAAGAAGCTAACTTCTTTACTATTTAGCCACAGAACAATACAATAAACACTTCTGTTAGAGATATTAATATGCACCCAAAGTTCTACTTGAAAGGTATTAAATTCATGTCTCATATCAACAGTTAATATTTAGAACAGATAATTAAATATATAAAGGAGATGTAAACATCACAAAAGATCACAAATTCCCATCCTTGCTAAAAATAAACCTTGATAATAGGAATGAATTTAACTTAAATTACCTTTATGAAACAACAATAAACTTAAAATATTCACTAGAAAGAACTCTTTGAAAAACAAATTGGGCTATTTGGTGTTGTGGTTTGAGTAAATCCACAGAATTGATGTCTGTTATACAATCCTATAGGGATGAGAGAAAGTTTCACATTAAAATAAAATAAAGGTTTTATTAGTCACAACCTGACGGAACATATTTGGGCTCTGCCCTAATATCTAATTTATAAGGAAAAATATATAAGCTTCATGACCACTGTGGGGTATAGTTCCCTTATCTGTAAAATGAAGGAGTTGAACTAGATGAGCTCTACAACTTTTTTCTAACTTGTAATATTCTCACATTCTGAGACTGTCTCGTGTGAATGTTTCCATCCACGCATGCGCACAGTGCTGTGAGCACTGGGAACAAGAGTCAGTGAAGTATATGAACCTCATTACTAGGCTAGTAAGAGTTCAACAGCTGATTCAGAACCCAGCTAAAGTTGAAACAAGCACTGTTGTCAAAGAAGGTACTTATTTCTTGTTCTTAAGAATTGGACTTAAAAGAGAAATGCTACATACACAAGGGTTATAATTATTTCTGTAGTAATTACAAAGAAAAACAGCTATACAATATAGAATATTTTCAAATACTTTATAGCCTAAACACATTTAAAAAGTGTCAAAACCTCATAATGAAATAAGATACAGATAACATCACTGTCTTATCTGTTCAACAAAATTACCAAACTATGTAAAAATCACTTACCATTGGATTTATTCTTGTGTTTACTTATGTTTTTCATATGAAGTGGAGAAAAAGTGTTATCCCTAAAATATTAGGACATTTGCAATAGAGGAAAAGCTGGAAACAACTGGAATGCCCAGCCATTTAAAAGGATGTTTGTAGAGACAGGGACATGTTCATAGAAAACTATACTTAATGAAAAAGCAGTATACATTCTTAGAAAAAAAATGTATGGAAAAGAGAAAAAGAAATCAGTGTGTTATGTATAGGAATGTTTAGTCTGTAGGTGATTTCTGTTTTTCTTCTTTTCCACATTTTTTTATTTGCTAATCTTTTTTTGATGAGCATATATTATTTTGAGCACAAACATTAATTTTTTTAAATTACAAGAAAGGTGATGGAGGGCGCCTGGGTGGCTCAGTTGGTTAAGCGACTGCCTTCGGCTCAGGTCATGATCCTGGAGTCCCGGGATCGAGTCCCGCATCGGGCTCCCTGCTCAGCGGGGAGTCTGCTTCTCCCTCTGACCTTCCTCCTTCTCATGCTCTCTGTCTCTCATTCTCTCTCTCTCAAATAAATAAATAAAAAAAAAAAGAAAGGTGATGGATGTTGATAGGTTGGCTTTTTTGCCAGATCTGAAGGAGCTCTAGGGCAACAACCAATGAAGCAGATTCTTTGAGGAGTTTCCCATCTCACTCTGCCTTGAAGAGATCTTCAAATACTACAACTTTATGACCTCTTTCCTGCTTGTGATAATGGTGCATATATCATGAGGCTGGAGTAGAGCTGATATCATGGGAAAGGAAAAAAAAAAAAAAAAACTCATCCTGAGTTTTGGTCTTTAAGAAATTGATTCAACTATTAAGTCATTCATATAAAAGACTTGACGTTGCCCCCACAATACATTGGCTAATATTAAAATAATTACATTTATTTATTAGAAAATTTGTATGATGAAAGTTACTAATACCAAAACAATGACCTATTTTCCCACAGATTGAGAGAATTGTTACAGCAGAATATGAACTAGAATATCTACTACTTGAAGGACATTGCTTTGATACAATGACAGAACAGCCTCCTCGGGGCCTGCAGTTTACACTGGGCACAAAAAATAAACCTGTTGTAGTTGATACAATAGTGATGGCCAATCTTGTAAGTATTATACATACTTAATCAATTGTATTTAATTACACATATTGGTGAAATCCTCTTAAGTTTCCCTAATAATAAGATGAAATCGATTTTGTCCTGCTATTGCTGAACAGCTCCCAGAAAACAAAATTGAATCCTTAAATAAGGTAATTAAATAAAACAAAAATGAAGGGAATCATACTTTCATGATGTGTTATTCAGGTATTGCAAAATCTCCCTTTTGGAATTCATTTATAGATTTTATTCACTCCAGTTAGGTAACACTCTCTTGAGTCATTCATGTATAATCGTTTTTGAACAATTGGATGTTTTTAGTCCTATAGCTATCATCATATTTTTCTCATCCTAAAAGGGATATTTTCAATTAAAAGCAAACCCAGGTGCTTGGATACTGAAATTACGTGAAGGAAAATCTGAAGATATTTATCAAATAGTTGGGTGAGTTATATAAACCACTTTAAAGTTTTTATGTGTAAATTAAGTTTTTAGTCTTTTGGATAAGAAATGAGAGGCAGGGTGATTTATTTTTCCTCTACAAAAATTTAAATGATTTTTATATTTAGAATTCCCAGAAAAATAGGTGTGTGTCCTTTTATAAAAAATATAATCCTTCCTGAGATGTAGTGAATCCTTTCATTTTGAGGTAAATGGCTTTTACTGAGATACAATCTTCTTTGAAATCTCATTGAGTATATAAATTATTTGAATTCTCCCCCTTTTTTCTGCATTAATTCTTTCCAAGTGAAGTCCATGTCTTCTGCTTGCTTGCTTAGCTTGTTCCCTTCATTTAAGCTGCTGACTGTACTCATGTATGCAATGAGTTTTAGTTGCTTAGCTTTACTTAGAAAGATCAAACAGTGCAGTTGGGAAGATCCAGGCTACCTGGGCTGTTTGGATCTAGGATAATTGTACCCTCCTCAAAGGATGATTATATGGATCAAATGAGTCAACATCTCTAAAGTGCTTGAAATGATGCCTGAAATAGAGTAAGAGTGTTCCTCACTACTACCTCTGCCATCTGGTTGGACGGAAGGAGTTTGCTTTAGATCTTGTGTGGGTCTAGCTACAGTGTGTGTGACCGGGGTCTGTCCTGCTCTCGCTGGACAGTGGATTCAGTGGCTGAAGTTGCTGATGCCCTTGAGCAACATTTACGACTGGAAGCTCTTGAAAAATTTAAGAAATTTGACATTACTAGTACATAAGTTGGAACCCTTTTTATTTCCTAGTGGTAACTGGTGGGTGTGGGTGTGCCTTCTACTTTGGTTTAACCACTTCAGCTGGGGAGTTGGATGAAAGGGGGGGTCAAAGGCATGTGTTAGTCAGCATAGTCCTATAACCCCTCAGAATTTCCTTTTAGGAAAGTATTCAGGTGTGTTGTGAATCTGACTAAACTCAAAGTATCTACTAATTTGACCTCTGATTGCATTCCCTCTTTGACAAAATTCGACTTTCTTGTAAATGTTTTTAACAGTATTTTATGTATTTTTCTATACATAGAATGGTATCAAAAATTATTGGTCAGAGGGGCGCCTGGGTGGCTCAGTCGGTTGAGCGACTGCCTTCGGCTCGGGTCATGATCCCAGGATCCTGGGATCGAGTCCCACATCAGGCTCCCTGCTCTGCGGGGAGCCTGCTTCTCCCTCTCCCACTCCCCCTGCTTGTGTTCCCTCTCTCGCTGTGTCTCTCTCTGTCAAATAAATAAATAAAATCTTTAAAAAAAAAAAATTATTGGTCAGAGCTGTCATATTTGATTAAGCAGTTCTGAAAATTAGACAATGAAATATGTTATAATATAAAATAGAAATATTCAAGTGATGCAGGTGACCATCATAGACACATTTTCAGTCTTACAGGTTTAACAATACACTTCAAATTTTGGTATTTGAAAATGGCTGCTGAATATTGAAAAGTTGTTGGACGGTATAGAATTCCTTAGATTATGATATATAACAACTTATTTTAAAGTCTCAAAAACATTTCATATTTTAATTATTGTAATATATCAAAGACATATGATAGATTTGACTTTTGTGATAATCTTGGTATATAGTAGCAAAGATAAGCAATAATTTGAGCTTGCTCAGTGATTAGGCAATATTGAATTTAGTGCGTAACTTTTGTACAATATTAATTTGTATTAAGTTGAAATTGGATAATTTTGAAAATTGTAGTGTATTATAGTATATCTTAATTGACTGTAGAAACAGCAAATATATATACACAGTGATCTTACACTTATGCTTATTGCAAAATGAATTCTGTTATTTATACCATCATAATTACATGTCTTTTCTGGAGCTGATTATGGACATTTACATGTTTTTCTGCTTTTAGGCATGAAGGAACTGACTCTCAACCAGACCAGGGAGATGTCATTGTTGTGATAAACAGCTTCAAGAGCAAAATACTGGAAGTACAAGTGTGTGAGGCAGAAGCTCTTGCTGTTTTGTTCCTAGTATTAAGAATTATCTTTTTTGCCCTTAATTGATTAATATTATTTTACAACTAATTTTGCAATTTTACTACCTAAAATGTTATATTGGAATTCTGGCATGAAAGGAAGAAGAGGATTAAGTTCATGAAGGGAAGGCAGAGAGCTTGAAGATAAAAGAAAAGGAACAACGTTTTCTAAGGATGTGTCTGTTATATCTACTGTATCTATAACCAACCAGATAGCGTTACAAATTAGGCTCTAGAGATGAACGCAGGAACACAGGTTGAAAAGTTAGCCTTGAAAAGAAAAAGTGATGTTTCTTTCCTTTACCCCCCACCCCACCCCCCCAAAAAAGGGAGAGAGTGAGAGAGAAGAGGAATTTTTAATGATGGTAGATTTATTTCTTTGGACCAACTTACCACTCACCTTCTTAAAACTAGTAAAAATGTTGGGTGTTTTTGAAACATCTTAAAAGCAATGAGGAGCTGACAATAACAAAATAATAAGGATAACAAGGAACTACAAAACCAAAATTAAAGGGAAAATAAGAGCCTAATGAAGTAAGCAAGCACAGAATCTTCTCTTGTCCTGAGAACATTTGTCCATCCTGGTACACCTGAACTATCATTTTGATTTAATTTGCAGGGTGATGGGGACAGAAAGTAAATCCCTGGACCCATATAAAGTGGGTAATCTGTTAGAAGACCCTTTCAGCAATAAGCTGGCTGTAGCTTCAGGGTAAGGATGAACCCTAGTAAATTATTCCACACAGTCTTTCAGCCCAAATTTGTTCCATGCAAGTAGTCCAGGAAACTCTGAGCCTTGAATTTGCACTATACTAGTTCCAGATTGATGAGGTTGTATAGGGCCAAATTCCTATACGTCTCTGGAATAAGATTACTGTATCCAAATACATAGAGAAAACCAGCTGAAACAACAGAAAGCAAACATATAAACACTCTCTATATTAGAATTATTGACACTCCGAAACAACTGTGCTTACAATATTTAAAGAAATAAAAGACAAGCTTGAAAACAATTCAGGGAACAGAAAACTATAAAAAATGCATATCTGATATTTTTTAAAGTAGAACTTCTGAAACTGAGAGATACAATAACCCAAATTAAGAATTCGATGGATGACTTTTACATGGCTAAGGAGAGAATTAGTGAATTGGAAGATAGACTAGAAAAAGTATTCCTAATGCAACAGGGACATTAAAAAAAGAGGATAATGCAGCAGAGAGCATAAAAGGCATAGAGAATAGAGTGAGAAATTAAAGATTCCAGGATTGCACTGAACCTGGCTCCACCACTCTCTAGCTGTGTGACCTTGGACAGATTGCTTAGCCTCTTTCTGTCTCATTTTCCTCATTTATAGATTGTGATTAATAATGGAGCCTACCTTACATGTCTGTTATAAGGATAAGATAGTTCAGTTTGTAAAGTGCTTTGTGAGTATTGAATAATTAAAATCATTTTAAGTGGAGTTCCAGACAAAGGTGAAAGAGTGTGAGGTAAATGTAACATGGTGTGTCAACTATACTCACATTATAAAAAAAAAAAAGGGGCGCCTGGGTGGCTCAGTCGTTAAGCGTCTGCCTTCAGCTCAGGTCATGATCCCAGGGTCCTGGGATCAAGCCCCGCATTGGGCTCCCTGCTCTGCGGGAAGCCTGTTTCTCCTTCTCCCACTCCCCCTGCTTGTGTTCCCTCTCTCGCTGTGTCTCTCTCTGTTAAATAAATAAATAAAATCTTCTAAAAAAAAAAAAAGATAATATTTGAAGCAATAATGGCTGAGAATTTTCATGAATTGATGAAAGATACCAATTTACATGTTCAAGAAGTCCAATGATTCCCAAGCAAGATAATTAAAAGAAAATTTACACCTATACTCTGGTAAAACTGCAGAAAACCAAAGGAAAAAATCTTGAGAGTAATCAGAGAAAAAAGGAAAAATTACCTTCAAAGAGCTATAGATAGTCTGATCATTGATTTCTCAGCAGTAAGAATGAAAGCCAGAAGATACTGACTTTAGGACAAATATGAATTTAATTTCTAAGATAACCACTAAAAGAATAGAAAGAAAGCATAATGCCATAAAGAGGAAAAATGGAATAAAATAAATTAATATAAATGGAATAAGAAGAAAGAATATATGGGATATAAAGGAAGCAAAATAATAAGTTAGAATTTAACTCAATTATGTTAAATGTAAATGGACTAAATGTTCTAATTAAAAGACAAAGATTGTCATATTGGGTTTTTGTTTTAGTTTTTGTTTTAATTACAACTATGTGTTGTTTGCAGAAAGAACACCTAATACGTAAGAATACAACTTTAGGGTGAAGATGAAAATAAAACTCAAGAGTGGCAAAAGTATTGTAGGCCAATACTAAGCTAAAGAAAATTTGCATAGCTATACTAATACCAGAGATTAAATTAGACAACATTACTAAAGATAAAGAAGGTCATTTTACATATATGAGGCAGAAATAGAATTACAAAGAGAAATTTAAAATTTTCTATAATGCTGGGATATTTTTAAAAATTTTTTTATTTGAGAGGGAGCACACATGCAACGGTGGGGGGAGGGGCAGAGGGAGAGAATCTCAAGCAGACTCCCCACTGAGCGTGGAGCCTGATGCAGGGCTCAATCTCTGAGATCATGACCTGAGCTGAAATCAAGAGTCAGACATTTAACTGACTGAGCCACCCAGGCACTCCTGGGATATTTTTAATACCCATCTCTCAGTACTTGATATAACAAGCTGACCAAAAAATCAAGAGATAGAGAAGATGTGAACAGATTAGAAATTCTGACCTAGACACATATAGAACACAACACCCAGTATCACCAAATGAGCAGTCTTTCAAATACACAGGAAATGTTGATAAAAATTAGCTTTACATTTAGTTGAAAGCAAGTTTCAGTAAATTTCAGAAGAATGAAATCGTACAGAGTACATTCTCTATCTACAATGCAGTAAAGTAGAAATTAATTTCCACGTATAACTAAGAAATACTATGTGGTTGTAATTTCTAAGATCCAATGACAGTAGGCCACCAAAGCTCACACCTTACGTATTGCCCGGATTCTAAACTACTGTATCACCAAATTTTACCTTGCATCCCACATCATAACCTGTTCCTAATCACCTTTATCCTGTGATCAGTTATACATGTTGCTTCACATTTATCTTGATTCTCTTCTCCTGTATTGACCTTGATTTTCTTTCTCAATAGTAACATAGTCTCTCCTTGAATACATTTCTTTCTGGCCATTTCAGATGAAAAACCCCACGAAATCCAGACCAGCTACTTAAGATACTAAGGTCCAAGCCCTGTAGGAACAGTATTCCAGATAGTCCTGTAAACAGGAGAGAAACACCATTTCTGCCGGGCTGGGCGCAGGAAAGAACATATCCATCTTTGAGCTATTTTGACCATTGAAAAGCTGCTTAAGTTCTCTTGAGCTGAATTTTTTCACTCTGTGTATTGGCTCTAATTTGACTTGTTGGTCTGTAGTACAGAGCAGTTTGAACTCTTTGACCATAGCCACCAAATCTTTGAGGGTAATAATCATGCCCTACCTGAGTCAGACCTTCTGCAGCCCAACCACCTAGGTCTTTCAGTTGATTTTAATAACATAGTTTTATCTCCTCACTGTCCATCTCTCACAATTACATAGAAAAAAAGGAGAAGAAAAGACAACGTTAAGGATCAGCCCATCAACCCCAGCAGCCCATGAATAGGAATTCCCACATTGAAAGAACAGAAAATGGAGGAGGGAAGATATTTCACAGATAAGAGAAAAATATTCAGTCAAAAGGGTCCACAGATTAGCATGAGTAAAAAATGGCCCCCATGAGATCCTAATAAGTATCAAGGAGGAAAAGCAGGTCACAGCCATAGAATGACACCAGCATTAGCATCGGACTTTTCATTTTCAAGATGGATGTTACAAGACAGCAAAACACAGCCTTTAGTGTTCTGAGAATTATTTTGAAGCTAGGATTCTTTAGCCAAATTCTTAAACACAAAGTTATTTTCTGAAGAGTGAAGATGGAGAAAAATTATTTTTCACACCCCTTCTTGAAGGTGTTTGCGAGCACAATGAGGATGAAGACCAAGAAAGAGGAAGATAGGTATTTTGAGAAACTGTGAATTAATCTGAAAACCAACACAAAGAAAGCCTTGAAAGAAATAGGCAGTTAATTGTTGAGCTCCAAGAAAAATATCTTCAAGAAGACAGGAATTCCAAACAATGACCATGAATAATAAACTGGAAAATATTAGATGTATGGTAAAGAAGAAATTTATCTCACCACAAGAAAAAATAAATGCAATAAAATTCTAAGGAAAAGTGTTTGTCTGTTGGAGGAATGTGAGAAAGCAGAATCCATTTGAAATACCGAGAGTCTCTCATGAGAGGCACAGTGGTCACGTTACTGTCACTACACAGAGGTAATCCAGTGCTGGTGGCCTTGCAGACTCTTCAGTGAATAATATTTACATTGTCACAATAAGCACTGTCTACTGACTTTCAAGTTGTAGAATAAACATAGCAAAGTGCTGAAGTTATAATTAGGTTTTACCAAAATAAATGTAGATATTATCTGTATTTACAATGCTAAAGTAAAAGTTGAGCTAATGTAAGGCAGGAGGTGGAGGGAAAAGGTAGAAATATTAGTATCCTTATCTTACAGAGTATACAAGAGAAACTTGAAGTTGTTGGAGCAAAAAAATATATATTTATGTATTTGAAGCTACAAAGACACTCAGTAGAACTAATGATAATGATATTACTGCCAAAACTTCCAAAGAGAGGAAGAGTGATATAAGTGAGCTACTCCTCTGTCATCACAGAGAATGAAAAAGGTCTAAACCCTGTGGTTCTAGATATGCTAGTAGATAATGTCTGAAGTTGATAAATCAGTAATTATAAGTATAAGCACATAATTTAGTAGTATGGAGGTAACCACCAAAAGAACTACCAGCAAGAGGTTGACCTGATGATTGAAACCAGATTGTGTCTGTTACGTACTTCCCTGGCTCTGTCACTGAACCTGTCTTAGATTTACAGGGGTCACCTTGCCCTGTGTGTTTCACTTTCTAACCACGTGGCATAATATTTAAAGCTGCACAGTTCTAAGACTTTCCTTTACCATGCTATCTAGGTGCAAAAAAAGCCAGACAAAATTAAGGAGGATATCCTTACTGATAAGGAAGAAAAGAAAAAAGGAATATGGGATTCCATTAAAAGGTAATTACTAGTGAATGTTTTAACCTATAACGATAGATCCATCAGGAATCTAGTATGTGGCAGGCCTGCAGATTGTAAACATCTAAGTAAAGCACAGATCCTCTCCTCTTGTGGGATGAGATCGGTACATAAATGTTACTAAAACAGGATAGGAAACTAGAACTGTAAGACAGCTGAGAGTAAGGTGCTCTGTGAACCCTGGGAGCAAAAGGCTGTTTCTAGTGAGGAGGAACCTCCAGAAAGATTCCGTAGAGAAGTGTGTGGTTAAGATGTGCTCTGAAGGAGGGATAGGATCTCAGAAGTTGGAGATGGAGCGAAGTTATGCAGTCAAAAAGATTGAGTATGTTCATAGGAACAGAAAGTAGCCCAGCTTAGCTGAGACACTGGGACATTGAATATAATAGGGAATCTATAAATTAGGTTGGGGCCTATATTAGTTAATCAAAACAGGACTATATTGGCTCGCATGTAGAGAGTCCAGGAGTAGAGCTGGCTTTGGGCATTCAGGTGATGTGGTCTAGAAATTATTCCTCCATGTCTTAGTTCTATTCTCTGTGCCTCCTTCATTTTCAGATAAAGTTTTAGAAGAAAAAGTTTGCCATCTCCAGTGGGAAGAGATTGGTTCTTTCCATAAAGTCCCAGGCTGACTCATTGGCCCACTTGTTAGCCATTTGTCCCAAATGGGGGTCACTGTAATTCTGACCGTGCTTGGGTCGTATGCCTACCTCCAGAGCCAGTGAGAGGGCCTGTCCCACTAGACCTCACAGAATGAAAGTGGAGGAGGAATGCCCCCCTCCAAATACTAGGTTATTGTTACTAGACATATAAAGGATGTTAGGTGAGCAAAAACAAAAGCTGTGTGCTGTAGATCCACATGGTAGAGAACTTTGAAAGTCCGTTTCAGAGATCTAAGCTTCACGTGACTTATGATGGAGAACCAGTGATCATTTTTATCAAGGGTAAGAAATAGATTCAACAACCTAGGCAGATTTTATTTTGCCAATCAGAAGCACTCCCATCATTTAGGATTGTGCCCAGTTTAGGCCTCTTTCTGTAGTTGACTTCTTGTTTGATAAGAATGGTGTTCCTATTCCTTTATGTGCATTGAACTGTTACTGATTGAGAAGGGCTTAAGCCCCCTCATTTTGAGATCATTTGGAGAGTAGGTATGTTTGAGAGGATAATGAAGCAGAATGTGGGCATTTTAAAGGGTATTTGTCCATTAGCTTCCATTAAAACCAGAGGGTGGAGACAAGAATGAATACAGATGACCATCAAACAACAGCACAGCCACTAAGTCTACAGAAGGTACCAGAAGCAGATACTGCTGTGTTAGAAAAGGAGAAGGTGTGCATTTGGGACGGTAACTCCTCCGGTCACATGAGTATTGTGTATAATATAATGCTTTCACTTTTTTATCCTAAGTTTTATCAGCTCAGAGTATCAACTGTGTTTTTCTTATCTGGGAAATTACAATAAGAAAAGATTTGAAAAATGCTGTCATACAATTCCTATTTGGCAAAATATATCTGTAGTGATTATAAGTTTATTTTGTTCCAAATTTTAGTCATTCTAAATATCTGTGCATATAAAAATGAAAATTTTAATTGAATAAAATTTTACCTAGGAAGAAAAACAATTTTACATTATGAATACCCCAAATAAAAGATTCAGTCACTTTTGTATATGAGATGGGGCTTATTTTGAGAGGCTTCCCTAATTTTATTGCATATTAAATTTAGTATTTAGGTATGTACAGTTTGTAAATCCATATTAAGAAACTCTCAATCACTACTTTCTTATTCCAAGTTTCACAAGAAGTTTGCATAAAGAAAAAGACGAAAAGGAAGCAGATGTTCTAAACATATTTTCAGTTGCTTCTGGCCATTTATATGAACGCTTTTTAAGGTAGGTATATATTTTTATCTAAGGCTTTGAAAAGTAATACATGGTTCAAAAGGAATTTCAAAAGTTCAGAAGAATAAAAGAAGTACAGTGAAAAAGTCCACCTGTTTTCTTATTACCCAGTCTCCTTCCAACAGGAAACTAGTATTATTATTTTCATATCTTGCCAAAGATACATGTAAATAAGCAACTATATTTTCTTCATTTTTAACTTCTTTTACTAAAGTAGTAACAAAATTTATGTTGTTCTGCACCTTGCTTTTTTCTTTCTTTTTTAAAGATTGAGAGAGCAAGAGAGCGAGCGTGCATGAGCAAGTCGGGGGAGGAGCAGAGGGAGAGGGAGAGGGAGAGAATCTCAAGCAGACTCCCCACTGAGCATGGAGCCAGATGTGGGGCTTGATCTCGTGACCCTGAGATTACCTAAAATTATAAGAGCAATATATATATATTTTTTTTTTTTTTTTAAAGATTTTATTCACTTAGCGTGAGCAGGGGGAAGGGTAGAGTGAGAGGGAAAGAGAGAATCTCAAGCAGGCTCCAGGCTGGGCATGGAGCCCAATGCGGGGCTTGATCCCATGACCCGAAAATCATGACCTGCACTGTAATCAAGAGCTGGATGCTTAACCGACTGGGCTACCCCAGTACACCAAGCAGTATATTTTTAAAACACAGTGAGGGGCGCCTGGGTGGCTCAGTTGGTTCAGCGTCTGCCTTCAGCTCAGGTCATGATTGAGCCCCATTTCAGGCTCCCTACTCATGGGGAGCCTGCTTCTCCCTCTCCTCCCCACTTACGCTCTCTCTTGCTATCTCTCTCTCTCTCTCTCAAATAAATAAAATCTTTTTTTAAAAATAAAATGAAGGGGCGCCCGGGTGGCTCAGTCGTTAAGCGGCTGCCTTCGGCTCAGGTCGTGGTCCCAGGGTCCTGGGATCGAGCCCCGCATCAGGCTCCAGTCTCCCTGCTCGGCGGAGAGCCTACTTCTCCCTCTCCCTCTCTCTGCTGCTCTGCCTACTTGTGCTCTCTCTCTCTGTGTTAAACAAATAAATAAAAATCTTTTAAAAAAAATAAAATAAAAAATAAAAATAAAATAAAATGAAATACGGGCGCCTGGGTGGCTCAGATGGTTAAGCGTCTGCCTTCGGCTCAGGTCATGATCCCGTGATCCTGGGATCGAGTCCTGCATCGGGCTCCCTGCTAGGCGGGAGCCTGCACTCCCCTTTCCATTTTCTCTCCCTCTTTCTCTCATGAATTAAAAAAAAAATTAAAAAAACATTAAAAAAAATGAAATACAGTGACATTTCATGAGTTTGATTAGAATGCTGCTGTTCTGTATGGCTAGGAAATGAACATATGTTATAAGTGAGGAAAAGTATATATAGTAAATTTCCCTTTTCTGGTGAGGAAATTCCTTATTTTATAGAAAATATGGGTGGGATAGGAGGAGAAAAGCTTAATTCCAAACTACAAAGGGCTATTTTTTTAACTTTGTATATAGAAGGATATCAGAGAATCCCTCAAAAATACTTGAATATGTGTTGATATTTTAACATGGAAATTTAGATACATCTGTATCTTCTCTAGTCAGAGATCTAGCATAGCAAGACAAGTGACCTGTCCAGTGAATTTACTAATACAGGTTATTCAGCTCTTGGAGTTTTGTACACCTGATATTAATGACATAGTAAAAGAATGGAGATTGGAGTGTAGTTCAACTAAACAAGACTATTTCAGAGTCAATTGGAAAAAATGAAAAGCAATCCGTTTATTCTGCATGGTATGTGTGTGTATGTTTGTATGTATATATACTTACACATTACATACTTGATGAGGAACCATAATTTGTGAAGGTTCTTCAGTCTATTTCTCCACAGTTCATAGTGAAAGCTTAATATCTTTAAGTAATTATATATATATAATAATTAAAAGCCTTAGAAAAAGCAGAGTGAACTCCTATTAATGTTAACTCACTGGGTTTAACGTTCCTTTATACAGAATTATGATGCTTTCTGTTTTACGTAACACCAAAACACCCGTGAAATTCTGGTTTCTAAAAAATTATCTCTCACCAACATTTAAAGTAAGTACATTAATCTTTATTATAGAATGGTTCAATGTTTGAATAGTAAATTCTTTATATCATTGTAAGTTCACATAATTTCAGAATGAGTCTTTTTAAATTACTATTTTTAATCAATTTTTAAAACTTCGATATTCACTATTCTTTTATCTAAAGAAAAATTCTATGCTGTTTTTATTTAAAGAAGTGTTTAAAAGGACAGAAAGAGATGGTTTATTTTAAACTAAGCTCAAAATCAGAAAGATTAGTGCTATTTCATGATATGAAATGAATATAATTAATTAAATAAAATTCGGCAATGAAAGATATGCACAGATTGTCAATAAAAAGAATTAGGTTCTGTCATAATTTTACAAAGATAGGCTGGAACAGTAGTATCTGGAGGATATGAACACTGTACCATAGGAAATAGTTTGATAATCCTGAGAATAAAAAGGATCTTTTATCTTTGTGCAGCACGGTGATTGCTGTGCTGATGGTTTGGGTCCTACATTTAAAATGAGGCATTTTATCTTGGGAAGTTTTCAGATGGTCAACCACTGTTACCCTTTACTCAGCCTCACACTCCTGCCACAAGGTGTACCATATGTCTCCCTATTCTCATGACAGATTCATCAAATTTCATGTAAGTTAGGGTCTCATTCAGTAGCAGTTCAAAGGAGTTTTCTTTTTCTAATCCAAAACCAGTGGTAAAAGCAGAAATAAGACTAGCCAGCCATGTTTTTATTCCTATTGCCAGCACATTGCTAAGTGCTTTACCTGCATTATTTAGTTGCTCTTCATAAAGTTCTATTCCCAGAAAACCGAGACTCAGAAATTACATAACCGGCCTATACAGCTGGGAGGTATCCAAGCCCACCCTTAGGTTCAGAGACTAACTAGAAGGACTCACAGAACTAAGGTAGCCATTATACTCCCAGTTACAGTTTATTACAGCAAAACAATACAGAATAAAATGAGCAAGGCAAAGAGATGCATGTGCATAGGGCAGGGTTCAGGGGAGACTGGACCAAGAGCTTCCAGCTGTCCTGTCCCAGTGGAGTTGGCAGACAGAGCTTATTTTCCCCAGTAAATGTAACAATATACGTGGAGGGTTGCCAGTTAGGGAAGCTCACTCAGACTTTGGTGTCCAGACTTTTTACTGGGGGTTGGCCACATAGACCCACCTGACTGCCACGTGGCTGACCTTCGCCTACAGCCCCCCAGAGGTTGAGCTGATACCTTGTGGCTCAGAGTCCCAGCTGTAAGTCGCATTGTTAGCATAGACTATTTGGTGTGGCCCAAGGCAGGACAGGGCAAGGGTAGAGTTACCTCCCAGGAGTGCAGGGCAAAGGGCCCAACCTTTCTTTGAACAAGATTTGTCCTTTAAAGCCCAGGCCTGAGATCAAACAGCTAATTAGGAGCATAGCTGAGATCTGACCCCAAGCATCCTGCCCTCAAAGCCCAGGTGCTTAACCCTAGGTCACATCCTCTCCCGCCACCACCACCAAGAGTGCCACCTCGCGTGCTCATTTAGCAGAAGACAACTGAAAAAGAACCTATAAATACAAACGAGAAGTCATACTAGTTTGTTACCAAATTTTTGATGTTATCCTACTAGGCAAACACTGCATGCTGGGATTAATTCTACATAAACTGAGCTAGTACAATCTGAAGATTCTCTTAGCAGGCAGTGATACCATTCAGTAGAAATACATGCTGTGCCTGCATAAAGTTCTTGTTCTACCATGTGGCCAAAAGTAATAGCATATCTGAAATAATATTTTTTTTCTTTTGGGAATTTCGTTCCTTTCCCGCAAAATGTTTATCTTTTTGAAATCTTTCAGTGAAGTACAATGTGTACAAATCATAAGTGTGCAGCTTTGATGAATTTTTACAAAGTTAAAACACCTATGTAACCAGCAGTCCTATACAGAAATTACTAGTACCCTAGATCCTTTCCTTCCAGTTTTCAAAACATCTCTCTCTCTTCCTTCAAATCTTTGATGAATTATACCTACTTAGGGAATAATCCTTTCCTGACCGCACAGTCTGAAATTACAGTCCCTTCTGATTTTTCACTCTGCTTTCCTCCCTTTTACTTTTCCCCTAGCACTATGTTCTATAGATGACTTACTCTTTCATTTATTTTCTACCTACCACCTCTAAAATGTAAGCCTTATGAAGGCCATGATTTATATCTGTTTTGTTCACTTCTGTATCCCTAGGCCCTAAAATAGTGCCTAGCACCTAGTGCATGCTCAGTGAAAATATTAATGCATATTTGCTGATTAGAGAGCTTTTCTACTTTCTCCTAATATATATATATATTTTTTAGTTTTGAAATCAAAACAATGATTATCAGCAACCATTCTAGCCATAATTGCAGCATTTCAATTCACAGATAAAACCAGTGCTTACACTAAGGAACGTAATTTAAATCTATACTGTTCTTACAAAAGCAGGAAGAAAATTAAACTAGGTGTATAACCAGCAACAAACTACAAATGAGAACTGAGAAGGAAAAAGCGAATTCTCTGTTTGCTAACCCATCTCCCTCCCCACCCCCACCTTTACCACTCTCCCTCTCAGTTTGGGGCTCGTCAACCAAACTTAGCCAGCAGTGCATTTCATTAACTGCTCTGCTTTAAACAGAATAAGATACTCTAAGTCTGTAAGACTATGCACCAAATACCAAACATCCAGAACCATAATGACTACCCTGTATTTTTAATTCTTGAATTAAATAGGTCATAAATCTCAAACATGAAACTCATGTAGAAAACCTAACTTATCACTTTACAACTCATTTTATGGGTTTTTGCACTCCCTCTTCCTGTTGTGTCTGTCTGAGGAGCCAGCATGTTGACATACACACAAACTGTGTGACGCATTGGTGTTCCAAGATCCAGACGCTTCTCCTTGTATAGTCAGGCTTTCTCAAGTCAAACATTGGTAGTAAAAACTAGGGGAACATTTTTTTTACTTAATAAACTTGCTATTCAAAATGGTGTACCTATTTTTTAATGTCAGTGGATTATATAGTTTCATGTATACTTGTATTTTTATATTTGTCAGCATTTCCATATTCCTCATTAGTAGGTATAAGTTGTAGAAGTAGTTTAGGCATTTTACCAAGTCATTTGTAACAATTTATAGTAAACTCTGCTTTTTAAAATGTTGATTTCTTTCTCTAAAGCAAAAACTACTTCCTCTTCCTTGAACATATTCTTTGATTTGTGTGTATGTGTACGTTTTTAGGAGGTCATTCCTCCCATGGCTGAGGAGTATGGATTCCAGTATGAACTAGTGCAGTATCGATGGCCCAGCTGGCTTCATCAGCAGACTGAAAAACAGAGGATCATTTGGGGTTACAAAATTCTTTTCCTCGATGTCCTTTTTCCTCTAGCGGTGGACAAAATCATTTTTGTTGATGCTGACCAGGTAATAAGATTAACTGTTGTTTTTAGTAGTACTTAAACTTTTTCTGCACTTCTGTTTGAGTGTAGGGCTCAGTTTATATTGCTGGTGTTCATTATTATCTTTGTTGCCATGCTACATAAAAATATACAACATACATAAGGAAAGCGTCTTTAAGACAAAACAAAACAAAACAAAACTGTCAGAATTCCAGGGGAAAATCAAATGTTGTATCGCAAGAAGTACCATTTACTATTTAGGACATTGCAGTTTTCTCTCTGACATAGTAGTTTTTTAATTTTGGTAATTAAAAAATAAGTACTGATACTAGTCACAATAAAAGTAGTCTGAGTTCCTATGAATATGAGCTACTTATTTAAAATGAGCTATTTCTTCTTGCTGAAAAAATTAACGATTACAGACCTCTCTCCTTTCCTTCTGAACCTCCCACGGTATTCGTGGGCATTAGCCAAATCCTCCTCATTCTACCACTTAAGGGAAAAAAAGTCCCAAGTTTGGCCCCCAAAAGCCATTATAGTACTCAGCTTTCAAAATTTATATATCCAAAAATTGTGACTTTTCCCCTTCCCTCCCTTGCATGCCTTTGTAATCATTAATGGGAAAAAATATTTGAAAAATATGCAGAATTTTTAAGAACAGTAAAATGTAAATAGTAACATTGTATAAATTAAGTGTACAAGTTAGTACAATTTCTATTTAGGGCAAAAAGTATATTTTTCAAATCCTATATTAGGATTTACTTATATTGTAAACTTTTATTATTTTTGTAGTATTTTTCAAAGTGATAAATATGAAACATTATAATTAAAAACTAAGAAAACAGGGCGCCTGGGTGGCTCAGTTGGTTAAGCGACTGCCTTCGGCTCAGGTCATGATCCTGGAGTCCCGGGATCGAGTCCCGCATCGGGCTCCCTGCTCGGCAGGGAGTCTGCTTCTCCCTCTGACCCTCCTCCCTCTCACGCTCTCTGTTTCTCATTGTCTCTCTCTCAAATAAATAAATAAAATCTTTAAAAAAAAAAAAAAAACTAAGAAAACAGGCAAATGTAGGTAATGAACTAGGCACTTCCAAACATACCATCTAACATAAAATATATTTCTCCTATCTTCCCCCAACTTACACAGTGATATTTTCCAGCAGGCCTGAATCTGTTAAAAAATGCTCCTGGGTGGTGCAGTTGGTTGAGCATCCAACTCTTGGTTTCAGCTCAGGTCATGGTCTCAGGGTCATGGGATCGAGCCCTGCATCAGGCTCAGCATGGAATCTGCTTGGGATTCTTTTCCTCCCCCTCTGCCCCTTCCCCTGCTTATGCTTGCTCTCTCTCAAATAAATAAAATCTTAAAAAAAAAAAAAAAAAAAAAGAACTTACTGTTATTTCATTAAAGCCATTGAGGGTAACCAAGAGGTTTTTATCATTCGGACTAATATTTGCCAATATTACAATAATAGAGATTTATCATAAAACGATTTTGAATTATTAATCTATATCTTGATAAACTAAGATTGATGTACTTGTGAAATATTTCATCTCTTCCCAAAATACATTTTGTTTAAACTATCTTGATTAAAGTGGTGTAACAAGGGGCCCCTGGGTGGCTCTGACTTCAGCTCAGGTCATGATCTCAGGATCCTCAGGATCCTGGGATCAAGCTCTGTGTCGGTCTCTGCACTTGGCAGGGAGTCTGCTTGTCCCTCTCCCTTTCTGCCCCTCCCCCACTCATGCTCTCTCTGTCAAATAAAATCTTTAAAAAAAAAATAAAATGACATAACAAACTATTCTTATTAATGAGTAAGACCACTGTTGTATAGACTAGGCATATACATTTTAGGTTTATTTTCATTTTTTTTTTTAAAGATTTTATTTTATTTGAGTGAGAGAGAGAGAGAGCCCAAGCAGGGGGAGGGGCAGAGAGAGAAGCAGACTCCCCGCTGAACAGGGAGCCCAACTTGGGGCTCTATCCTGGGACTCCAGGATCATGACCTGGCCTGAAGGCAGACGCTTAGCCACCTGAGCCACCCAGGCACCCTCGTTTCTTTTCACCTGTAAGAACGAGAGAAAAAGGAACTTAGGAAACTCACTACCACTTGAAAGAGCTGTGAGAAAAACACAATTCTCTTTATTTCTACAATCAGGTGATGATTTGAGATTCACATAAAAAGGACTTATTATATTATAACAACATAATATTATATTATTTGATAGTCTTCATCAGAGAAACTATTTTAATTATTTAGATTGTGAGACATGACCTAAAAGAACTCCGAGATTTCGATCTGGGTGGAGCACCTTATGGGTATACTCCATTTTGTGATAGCCGCACTGAAATGGATGGATATCGTTTCTGGAAAAAAGGATACTGGGCATCACATCTTTTAAGAAGGAAATACCATATCAGGTAAGAAAATTTATATTCTTACTTTTTAGTAACTAAATAACTTACTGGATCACAATATTCAGTTTTCTTAGAAATCAGACAGTAATGGCAACCAGTTAGTGTTTATGGCATGACAGTCACTCTTACAAGACTTCACATGTATTAACTCATAAAATCCCTATGACAGCCTTCTGAGATACCGTTATCCAGATACCATTTAACAGATGTGGAAACCACAGCATGCAGCATTCATGTGACTTTCCCAGGCTTACACTGTTAGTGCATAGCTGAGCCGGCAGTTAAACCCAAGTAACAGGACTCAAGTGAGAGGCTCCTCACCACTACAGAATAAACTGGTTTGTTACATAGCACAATGAGCATACTGTCTTCAAAACTGTTGTTTTGTAGAGCCATGATTTTCATGGTATCTTGGAAAAACTTGAGGTGACTCTATGAGGGTATGGATCCTAACAGTATTATAACAAACTTCAGACCCCTCGGAAACAGTGTGGACATGGGGAGAAAATCTATGAAAGGATTCATTATTATTAGACCCAGGGAGATCTAAAGTCAGTCCCATTACTGTGGACCGTCACTGGGGGAGAGTAAAAATACATGAACAACATGGGCCACCACAGACTCTTCACTTTTGCAGCGCCTTGTATGTGGTGGATCTCAAGAAGTTCAGGAGAATTGCAGCAGGAGACAGGCTCCGGGGCCAGTACCAAGCTCTCAGTCAAGATCCAAACAGCCTTTCAAACCTCGATCAGGTAGGTAGAATGTTCATAGACATGGATCCAGACTGCTCCAGTTCCCTTCTTGTAGACTTCAAAATCTGACATTTTCAGCCTCTTTCTCCCCTTGGTACAATTTTGTATTAGATATCTCAGCTGTCTTGACTTACATACAATTTTTCACTTTCAGCTCAACATTTTCAAAACTAATCATATTTTACCTTCACTTTTCCATCCTTAGGCCACTTCATCCCACCACATGCCCTGGCTCACTTACCGTACCTTTTTCTTACTCACTTCCATCATCGGTTAAATATGTCTCTGTCTCCGATCTTTTTTTTTTTTTTAAAGATTTTATTTATTTATTTATTTGAGGGAGAGAGAGAGAGAGAAACAGCATGAGAGGGGATAGGGTCAGAGGGAGAAGCAGGCTCCCCGCCAAGCCGGGAGCCCGATGCGGGACTCGATCCCAGGACTCCAGGATCATGACCTGAGCCGAAGGCAGTCGCTTAACCAACTGAGCCACCCAGGCACCCTCTGTCTCCGATCTTTAAGACAAACTCCCTTCGTCCTGCGTCCCATCTGGCTACTGCCTTACATTTTGTTTTACCTAATAGATAAACATCTTTTTTCTCAATATCCAACTAATTTCTAGAGTTACTTAACCTAATGATATGACCCAGATCTCCCAGAATTATGGGGATAACAAGCACAGCTTCCCCAAGAGGGTCACTGGGAGTGAGGATAAGTAGGATCACTTCTTTGCTCCCTGGACCCATGTCATTTTTCCATGTGGTAACACAGCACCATATAATGGTTGGTGATTTAGAATATAATGCTGCACCCCACTCTTGCAGGGTATTGTCTCCAAAAATCATTCTATTGCTTTGTCAGGCCAGCAGCTTCTGGGTGATGTAGTATGAGATGGGACCATGGGATCTCTTGGTCATGTGCCCCCTGCCAGGCTTCCTTTCCTTGCTATCAAGTAGGTCTGTTGGTCTACTGCAATATTAAATGGAATCCTCTCTCAGTGGGATAGCTCTGTAAGCCCTTGGATAATGGTGCTAAGTCTCTGCGAGCAGGAAAGGCAAACCCATACACAGAACATCTGTATATTTCAATTCAGAAGAATCTATGGTTCCTAGTTAGTTAGAAAGAGTCTAAACTAGTCAGCAACTTAAAAGACACCACCTACCAAAATGCACTCAAAATGAAATAGTCTGAATAGTCCTATGTCAGTTGCGGAAACTGAGTTTAGTTTAAATCTCCATGCCCAGATACCTTCATTAGTGAATTCTACCAAACATTAAAGAAAAAATACCAATTCTACTCATTCTGCAAAGCTAACATTCCCTTGACTTTAAGACCATACAAAGACATTACAAGAAAGGAAAATTACAGACTGACATCCCACATGAACAGATGTAAAAATCCTTAATAAAAATCTCAGGAAACCAAATCCAGCAATATATAAAAGAGACCCTGTATCATAACTAAATGGACTTTATCCCTGGGTTCATTCCATTTTAGAATACCAGTCAGTGTAGGGCGCCTGGGTGGCTCAGTTGGTTAAGCGACTGCCTTCGGCTCAGGTCATGATCCTGGAGTCCCGGGATCGAGTCCTGCATCGGGCTCCCTGCTCAGCAGGGAGTCTGCTTCTCCCTCTGACCCTCCTCCCTCTCATTCTCCCTGTCTCAAATAAATAAATAAAAATCTTTAAAAAAAAAAAAAAGAATACCAGTCAGTGTAATTCACTATATTAACAAACCAAAAAATAGAAAAACCATATGATCAGCTTAATACAAAAGAGCATTTGATATATTCCAACATCCATTCCTAATAAAAACTCTCAGCAAACTAGGACAAGAAGGGAACTTCCTCAGCCTGATAAAGGACACCTATGAGGGGCGCCTGGGTGACTCGGTTGAACATCTAACTCTTGGTTTTGGCTCAGGTCATGATCTCGCGGACGTGGGATTAAGCCCCACATCAGGCTCCATGCTCAGTGCAGAGTCTGCTTCAGATTCTTTCTCCCTCTCCCTCTGCTTTTCCCCCCTATTGTGCTCACTGTTTCTCTCTCTCTCTCAAATAAATAAAATCTTTAAAAAAAAGACACCTATGAAAAACCTGTAGCTAACATACTTAATGGTGAAATACTGAATACTCTCCCCTTAAGATCAGGAACAAAGAAAAGATATCTACTCATCATTTCTATTCAGTATGTAGTAGAGGTACTAGATAGTACAGCAAGGCAAGAAGAATAAAAGGCATTGGATTGGCAAGGAATAAGTAACTTTTTTTCAGACAGAATCATCTATGTAGACAATCCTCTATAATCTACTAAAAAGTTATATGGAGTCAATAATTATATTTAGTAATACTGCAGATATAAGATCAATATATGAAAATCAATTCTGTATTTCTATTTACTAGCAACAGTTGGAGATTGAAACTAAAAAGACAATATTATTTCTAATAGCATTTTTAAAATTATGTTCATATAGAAATGCAGTAGACCCGAAATAGCCAAAACAGCTTGAAGAAGAACAGAGTTTGAAGACTTATTTTGCCTGATTTCAAGACTTGCTATAAAGCTACTGTTTGGTGTAAAAATAGATAATTCTAATCCATAAATAGGAATGAGAGTCCAGAAATAACCCACACATGTCAACAGTTGACTTTTGACAGAGGTGTGAAGGCAGTGCAGTGGAGAAAGGACAGCCTTCTAAACAGATGGCGCTGGAAGAGTTAGACATCCACGTCTAATTCAAGACAAACACTGCCATCCATAGCACATGCCACATGGAAAAACTAACTCAAAACACATCATAGATCTTAAAGACATAATGTAAAACTATAAAACTTTTAGAAGATAGGAGAAAATAAGTCTCTGTGGCCTTTGTTTATGCAGATGTTTTTAGACCCGTTAAAAGTGTGATTCACATAAGAAAATAATTGACAAATATATAAAAGACCTCTTAAAACTTATTAATAAGGGGCGCCTGTGTGGCTCAATCATTGGGCATCTGCCTTCAGCTCAGGTCATGATCCCAGGGTCCTGGGATCGAGCCCCACATCGGGCTCCCTGCTAGGCGAGAAGCCTGCTTCTCCCTCTCCCACTCCCCCTGCTTGTGTTCCCTCTCTCGCTGTGTCTCTCTCTGTCGAATAAATAAATAAATAAATAAAATCTGGGTGGCTCAGATGGTTAAGCATCTGCCTTGGGCTCAGGTCATGATCCCAGGGTCCTGGGATCGAGTCCCGCATCAGGCTCTCTGCTCCTTGGGAGCCTGCTTCTCCCTCTGCCTCTCTCTCCCTCTCTCTGTCTCTCATGAATAAATAAATAAACTCTTTAAGGAAAAAAAAAAACTCATTAATAAGAAAACAATCTCGTTTTAAAAAATCAGATTTTAACAGACCCTTTCACCAAAGATGATGACCAAGTGGCAATAAGTCCATGGAGAGATGCTGAAGATCATTAGTCATTAGGGAAATGAGAATTAAAACTACAATGAACTGTTCCACACACTATTAGAATGGTTGATATTAAAAAGACTGACCACACTAAGTGTTGACAAGGATGCAGAGCAGCTAGAACTCACATACACTGCTGACAAGCAGGTAAAATGCTGTAGCCGTTTTGGAAAACAGTTGGCGGTTTCTTATGAATTTGAATTTACACCTACCCTATGACCAGTCATTCTACTTCAAGGGAAATAAAAGCATATGTCTATACAAAGACTTGTGCATGAATAGTTGTAAGCAGCTTTATTTGGAAAATCCAAATTCTGCAACAACCCTATATTCATTATCTATCACTCCCTAACGGCTTACCTGAAAACATAACCGCTTGCAATAACACAGTTTCGGTGGGCCAGGAATCTGGGCCTGACGTAGCTGGTGTTCTGCTCCACAGTCTCTCACAGGGCTGGAATCATTGTGGACCCAGGGATGGCCATCTCCTCCGAAGACTTGACTGGGCTCGGTCACGCACGTGCTTACAGACAGCACTCCGAGCTCTTTTGCCACTTATGAGGCTCATCTGCCTTAGAAACTTTCTTTAACCCAGGTGCCAGTAGTCTTTGCTTAGAAAGCTCGGAGCATGAAGGGATGTGAGAATCCCTGGAACATTGTTTCCTAACAGGGAAATGAAGGGTCACCTCCAAATCTGGAGGGCGTGGCGGTTTCTGACAGCAGTGGCAAGAGCAGGCCCAGTGCGGGTGACCAGCTGCGCTGCTTTGGGGCAGGCGGAGGCAGGGAGCCTGTCCATTTGGGGGCCTGTGGGGTGGTGGGTGTCTGGGCTTCCCGCTGCATCCTGACACCTGGGGTGACGTCCAGGACAGCTGTGGGTGTAGTTCTAGTGCACGGGTTCATCGTGACACAAGATGATTGGGTCATATTAAGTATTTAATAGCCTAAAAATCGGTACCTTAGATCTGCGAATGTTTTTTTTGAACCTGTTTTTAATCTAATTGACCTTGTTCCCTCTAATTTCTGTACCTCCTTGTTTAAATCACTTGTTTCCATAGGATCTTCCCAATAATATGATTTACCAAGTCGCCATTAAGTCTCTTCCTCAAGACTGGTTGTGGTGTGAAACGTGGTGTGATGATGACTCCAAGCAGAGAGCCAAAACCATTGATCTGGTGAGTGTGCGCGCTGTCCTCTGCATGCAGGCAGGTGTGAACGTGTTCCAGTAGAATCGTTTCTCTTTTATAGACAGAATGGCACCCCTGTGGCACCCGGCTGCTTCGTCTGTTAGTACCATTCTGTTTACTTAGGTCGGCCAAGTACAGGGCTGTGTCAGGGGCCTCCAGGACCACCCCCAGCTTTGAGGAATCATTAAGAGGACTCCCAGGACTCAGAATATCGTCCTGCTCATGGCTGTGCTTTATTCCAGGGGGTACAAATCCATGTCCACAGAGGGAAGAGGTGTATGGGGCAAAGTGCAGAGCAAGCCAGGTGCAAGCTTCCAGGAGCCCTCTCCCTGTGCAGTCACACAAGAGCAGCTTAACCCCGTAAGCTGTGGGGAATTCCACAACACTGGTGAGGTGCTGTGTCCCAGGGCAGCTGGTTAGGAACCCAGGGCCCAGGATTCCTACAGGGGGGCTGCTCGCACAAGCACTCCCCCTGCCTGTCGCATTGACCAGACACTTAATACGTAAAAACACTGAAAATTCCCAACAATCAAAAGGAAAGCAGGTTCAGCATAAACCACGGGGTTGGCAGGGTTTAGGCACTGTGAGCCAGTCTTACCAGGGATGGTGGGAACACTGCTGAAACCCAAGTGCCCAGACGCCAGCCAGGGGCCATCCTTGCAAGCAGGCCTTTCGAAGGATCCGATCTCGGGCTTGCTGCATTACTCTTTTCGGCACTTTTCAGGGGCTTCTGAAAGAAAGGCCAGGAGCTGCCTGAAGTGTTCATGGATTAACTGTTATCTTAATATATAACCAGTTTGGTTCTCCTGCCAATATTTTCCCCAAATGAAGACAACCGAAATAATTCTGTCTCTACTAAATTATCCTATTTATGTCTGTTTTTCTTCCTTGTGAGAAATTTTTTTTTTCATTTTAATTTTAAGTAGATTAATTATGCTACACAGTGTAAGTCTCCTAAACGTGAAATAGTTCAAACTAATTTATTTTCCAGCTGTCTCAAAGTCACATTCCAATACTTTATTGTCTTCGGTAGTTACGAGATGTTGTCATTCTTTTTCTGACCATCTGGTTTTCTGTGCTAATTTAAGTTTTAAATAATTATTTACAAGATCTTCAGTAAAAAATAAGCTGTCAAAATATTAGCATTCATACAGTTTTGAACAAAATAAGACAGGACAATAAAATAGACATTTTTCTAGGTATGTATAGAAATGTATAGAAAAAAAAGTAGCATGCCAGTATGTTAGGTTTCAGTCAAAGGTGATAGAATGTAGCAGAAACAATTAAGATGGCATTTTTAAGAAGAAAGCAAGGGAATGTTCTAAAGAGAGGTCAAGAACATAACGAAACTCCTAAGAGATTGTTAAGGTTGTGCTGGGACATAAAAGGTTGTGACTCATACATTAGGGACGGAAGATCCCCTTGGGATCTCTAATACTTATAATACTTAGAGATAGTTAGCATGAGCTAACTGTGACAAACCCCAAATTTCAGTGGTTTCTCACTCACCTGAATACAGATCTAAGTGAGTATTCTGTCAGTGAGTAGCTTCCCTGTCCATCATGACTCAGGGACCAGCCTCCATCCACCTGGGGCTACTTCATCCTCTGAGGTCCTGTCATCATCTGTATCCATCTGGAGCTGATCTGTCCAGGATGGTGGCCACTTGCCACATGTGTCCATTCAGCACTTAAAATGTTGCTAGTCTGAACTGAGATGTGCTGTAAAGTATAAGATACCAGATTTTGAAGACTCGGTACAATAATAAGGTAAAAATATCTCATATTACTAACTTTTATATTTATTACATATTGACTGATAATTTGGACATATTTGGTTAAATAAAATACAGTATTAAAATTTATTTCACCTGTTCTTTTTATATGTGGCTACTAGAAAATTTAAGATGACATATGTAGTTTCCATCATATTTCTGTTGTGAAGTGTTGATCTGGAGGGGAGGTAAGAAGTGTGAGGAATGCTTCCTGACTCCTAAAAACTGTGGCCCCTTGGGTGGGAATTGGTTGTGTGGCCACATCTAGATGTCAGAGGAGCTGAGAAATGGCATTCCCAGATGGGCTACTTCCCAGGGATGGGTCTACATAGAGAAAAGGTGGCATAAATTTTGGTGGACAGCTAGCCATCCCTCCCACAGAAACGCTTCAAAATGAGAGAACATGCTAATTTGGGCCAGCTTCTTGGAGAAAAAGTTAAGGGAGTGCAGAAAAATCCCAAGGAAATGGCCTAATGAAGAGGAGAAAGCATGATTAATGGTACTGAAGGTGAGAAGGAGAGCATTTATGAATGTCATGATACTGTCTCAGCTCCATTTCAATAATCAGGTTTCTCAACCTGGGCATTATTTACATTTAGGACCGTATAATCCGTAATTGTGGGGACCGTCCTGCGCTTTGTAGCATGTTTAGCAGCATCCCTGGCCTTACCCACTAGATGGCAGTATCACCCCACCCCACCCCACCCTGAGCCGTGACACCCAAACTGTGTCCAGACCTTGTCAGAGCTCCCTTGAGGGGCATAATAGCCCTGTTTAAGTACCACCGATAGAGATTATAGGGGGAAAAAATTATAGCACAAAAAAATAAGGAAAACATAGTATTTTTAACAGTTTCTGACACAAAATGAAAGAAAATGTTTCCATTATCTTCACTTTATAGAACATATTGTCTGTAAGGTTAATTTCTGCAAAGAAAATCCTCTTTTCCCACTTACTTCAGGAATATATTACTATCGAGAAAGTCCATAATGGAATGAACTGAAAATATTTGGTGAGGAAAGGATCAAGACAGCAGGTTCATGGCTTATAACCAGTAGCTTTCCCACAAGGAATTAAGGAGAAAGCAAGCTGTGGCAACTATAAGAAAATGTCACAGAGCGTGAGCTTCTTGACTTTCTGTATTCCTTAACAAAACTAGTGTGGTTGAATGAATGCCTTGTAGAGAGCAAGGCGAGGCTTGTGGAGCGTGGGGACGTTTGTGCTCCTTGCGCTGTCCTTCATGTCTCAGCCAGTGGCATCTCCATTCTTCACATGGCTTCAGCCAGACACTCTGGGGGCACCTGTGACCTCTCTCCTCACAGCTCCCATGCAGCCCATTAGCAGACCTTTGTCAGCTGTACTATCCCCTCCATCCAGAATCAGATCCTTCTCCTATGATACGCCTTTAACCCTTAATTTCCCAAGGAACTCCACAGTAGGACCAATTGCTCATTGAGTAGTTTAAATGGATCCTGTGTCACTGGAACCCTGGAGATTATCTCCCTCCTCTATGATGAAGCACTAGACCCCCCCACACACACACACATAACACATATAACACACATGGACACACATATAGGTGAAATGTATGGATCGCACTACTAGGAAGAGTGGAGTTGGAACCATGACTGAGGATCTGAATCCACTGGTTTCCCACTGTGTCTGTCAGATAGACTAGTTAATATTTTTAGACATGAGATTGATAAACTACTCTGAATTTCACATCTATCAATATTTTGACAAATGAGTTCCAGTTAACTGATTTTTAATAGCATCACAGTTGCTAATTAGAACAGAGGCATAAGAAGGGGAATGAATGTTTTTGCTAAAGAAACCCAAGGAATTTCTAAAGGCTAACAAATACTTTTGTCTGTGGAAAACATAAAGCATATAAGCCAGACTTTAGTCCAAAGAAAAGATAAGAAAATATTTATTAATGTAGTCTCCTATGTTCTTTTACAAATGGTCATGTAATTAGATCTTTTGTCAAAACAGTTTGCAGAATTGTTTGACAAACTCCTTTTTAAGCATCAGAATGTTTTTAATTAATTTTTGTTTAAATTTCTGATTGAGGTGTTTGCATTAAACACTTTTTGCTTACATAATGATTTGTCATTTCACTTGATCCTTTCCCTATTAAACTAATTGTAGTACTTTAAATATTTAGTATTTAGGACTCAGCTTTCTACAAAATGTGTTTTGTTTGCTCTAGTGACATAGTAATGTCCTCAAGCATTTCCTTTATGTCTTCTGAACAATGGTCAGTCAGTCCTTCCTTCCCTCTTCCCTCCCTGCCTCCCTCCCTTCCTTCTTTCCTTAACTGAAGTATAATTAACATACAAGGATAATAGTTTTTCATTAACAAAACTTTATTTAAACTTTCAGTGCAATAATCCCAAAACAAAAGAACCCAAGCTAAAAGCTGCTGCGAGGATTGTCCCAGAATGGGTGGAGTATGACACTGAGATACGACAACTGTTAGATCATCTTGAGAACAAGAAGAAAAATGCAAGTAAGTCATCATTCTGCGATGGTGTTGCATTAACTGAGATTATAATAGATTACAAACTCACTTCCTGGCGAATCTATTAAATGTAAATTAGATCAGAATTTCTTTAAGAAATTTGTGACATTATTAAGGATTTCCTTTTTGTATGGACTAAGCTCACAAATTAAAAACATGGGTAGAGGGGCGCCTGGGTGGCTCGGTTGTTAAGCGTCTGCCTTCGGCTCAGGTCACGGTGCCAGGGTCCTGGGATCGAGCCCCGCATCGGGCTCCCTGCTTGGCAGAAAGCCTGCTTCTCCC